ACATACTCTGTCCTCATGTTATCAATGATCAGGAACACTCAGTATAGAGGATTCCGGTTCATTGATAACAGAGGCCGGAGAAAAAGAGATTGAAGACTGTGTCCTCAATCTTTTTCTATTTTAAAAGGGAAATATCAGGGGTCTGTTTAGACCCCTAATATTTCCCAACAGTAAAGTAAAAAAAATATTCACTAAAAATAAATAAAAATGAAATATAAAAAAATAAAGTTGTGGGGGTTGGAACTTACCTGCCGCTCCTCTGCTTAGAAAGGCGGCGATCACACCTGTCAGCGGCTCCCTCTCTCTCCTCCTGGCCGCTCTGAAGCTGCAGCGTCCGGGAGGAGAGAGAGTGAGCGCTGACAGGTGTGATCGCCACCGCCGTGGCCATCTTAAATAGGCCCCCTCCCAGTCGGATCTTTCCACCCCAAAAAAAAGCCCCCCCCCCCCGTGCGGCCCCCCCCCCCCCCCCCTGCCGCTGCTTGACCTGTCTATATGGTAGCGCCGGCTCTGTAAGTGACGCGCCGGGCTCAGGAATAAGCGACGAGCAGGACTCGGGAATAAGCGACGCCGGAGCTCGGGAATAAGCGACGCGCCGGACTCGGGAATAAGGGACCGTTCTCTCTGTGAGGCCTGCAACCGCCACCCTCACCCCATCAGTGCCCTCTGGCGCCGCTTGCCTTGCGCTAGCGCCGGGCCTGTTTCCAAGTGGAAGTCCAGTTCAAACATGCAAAGCATGTTGAAGTCAACAGAAGACTCCACAAGAAAAACATTCCTTACTCTACCATCTACCCTGCCAAACTGAGAATTTGGCTCAAGGCACTAGTTTTGTGACTCTCCTTCTGTGGTAAATGCCTGATTAGATAGGCATGAAAGCCATCTACTCAAGGACCATGTCACCTAAGCCTATACTTTCAGGCCTTCCAGTACCTCTTTTGAAATTCTCATTATCGTTAATGCGTGATCCCATGCAACCACCTGCTAATTTTGTTTTCTCATGTATGTTTTTTGCATCCCTATTTATCCATATTTTTGCACCGGATCTTTGTTCCTGCGTGGATACAGTCTCTCCCATATGTTTACGAGAACTATGTTTCGGTTTTGTTTTCTTGGTTATTACGACTTGTCCTCTGCTGCCACTGAGATTCTCCTACTTTTCGTACAGAGATGTGCCGGAGACTTGTGGTCTCTGGCGCTGGCCAAATTTGGATTTGGGGCTCAGTTTGCCACCTAGTCCTAGTTTTTGTAAGCATCACATTGTGCACTTATCAGAGTAATAATAGTCTCTCTGATTCCTTTGCAATTTATAGGAGGCATTGGCAGGAGTGCCCCCTGTGTTGTGGAAATTTTACTAGGATGTATTTTTAGTGTATTGTAATATTGTCATCATGTCTCTCAGTGTCTGGATTTCTGGGCTATGCTCGATTGGCGTGTGACCCGGATTTAAATAGACACTGGGGTTAAACCATTGGAGTAGATATCTTATGCGTAGCGGAGCAGTGTTTTCTTAGCGAGTGTGTGGACGCCAGGCTAGAACCCCTGCACGCAGATTTATTGGTTTGGCGTGTAATACAACTTGCTTTGAGGACATAGTATTATTTAAGATACATATCTGCCTTTATGAAAGGAACGTACGTTCGTATTTCTTTTTTTTTTGGGTTTAAATAATTTTATTCCAAATTTAAAAAAAATTAAATGATTTTACAAAAATGTCTGTTTCAATTGCTTGTGATCCATAATAATTAACCTCTAACATAGATCAGCTACCACCTCCCGCGTTCCCCAAAAGGGAGGAAAAAGTCAGGAAAAGCGTTCGTATTTCTGATGCGTCTGATCAGCGCGCTGGAAATGGTATGGCATTGTCCCTGCAGATAAGCACGCATTCATGAGAAACATAGTAACGTTATTGGGCATTGCTCACTGAGCAGTGCTGGATAAGGTTCGCTCCAGTGGTAATGGGAGATTGTGTTTGTGGGTATGATACAGACACACACTCCCTTTTCTTTTGTGTACATGTGCTTTGTTGACTGGCTAGGATATGTTGATGTATTGAGGAAGTGAGGAAGTGATGTTGGTTGTTGACATCACTTCCTGGTCTGCTGTTTGATACATCGCTTCCTGTCTGACATCACTTCCTGTCGGACAGCTATAAAAATAAACAAATACCTGTGCTGAGGTCTCTAAGGGAACCACCAACAGGAAAGCAGCGTCTGTGTCCTGACTCTACAGGGGTACCTCCAGTCCTTGCACAAAAGAGCTTGATACAACTGTGCTTTTAAGCACGGGGGAAATTCTTTGTGTGTGGCGGCATACTTTGGTGCACTTTAGTGCCGCATGGATTTGTGCGTTTAACCAAGCGAATTTCCATAACACCTGTCATCTGTTTGGCCTTGGAGCACCTAGCGACTGCCATCAGAGGTTCTAGTGCAATAACTGGTTTCCAGTGTTATATGCTGATGAGGATCTAATATTCCTGGGAGACGCCTTGAGTTCTTTGGAAGCCTTGATGTCCCTTGTCATACAATGTGGTGGTTTTTCGGTTTCAAGATCAACTGGAATAAATCAGCGTTACTGGCAGTGGATCCTATGCCGCAGGGCTTACGGGAATGTGCCAACCAAATGTAGGTAGTGTCTGTTTTTAAATATCTGGGGTGTGAAGGTCTGCTATCACTCAGATTATATTCCTCTTAATATCCAACCTCTATTGACCCGGGTTTTGATCCTAGAGTGGGAGCTGGTGCAAGCTGCCTTTGTGGTGAGTAGAACCAATCTGATAAAGATGATCTGGATGCCTTAATTCCAAATCCCGTTTGGATTTCCCTTAAGATCTCTCATAAAATTTACACTCTAGGATAAAGCGGTCTTATATTCAATACCCTTGGCAGCCCAACACCCTAAACTGTGCTTTCTGGTTCCACAGATGCAACAGGTGGCTGGTTGGGGGATGTATGATGATGGGGATACTATACAGAGACTTTTGGCCACCAACAGACAACAATTTGATAGATTTCCCCATTGGAGGATGAGTCCCTCAAGGTAGATACTAACTACTACGCTAATCCTTCTACATAAAGTTTGGTGTTCAGTGAGCAAGTTGACGCATCACACAGGTTACACAAGTTTTATGCCCCTGTGACACAATAATGCTTTGCAAGAACTGTATAAATTGAAGGGGCTTGAGGCGTGGGCATCTGCAGGACTTCTTCAGGTCTTTGAGGGCAATGTTAGTACATCTTTTTGAATTTACGACAGCATTAATTTATGCATATAATTTTTATTGAATGTTTTCCAATAATACAAAACAAGTCAAGCTTTGGTGCAATAGATACAGGAGCAGAGTTGCAGGAGACCAGTATTAATTTAGTCGGCCAAAATGTTTGCCATTGTTTTCGTCATCAGCATGTTTTTACTGATGAAAACTAAATCAAAACTAAGTTAATAAGTCCTAAGACTATGATGAAAATACATTGCAATTTTCTCTACTGGAGATTTAGTTGACAAAACGAAAAGAATTCAGATGACTAACATACGCGTTTTAGTCATCTGATTTCTATTAGTTTAGACAATGTGTACTCTGCTCTCGTCTACCAGATCTAGAGTGAAGCTCAGATGCTGGGAAGAATGGAGCCAGAATATGGGTGACATTGCAGAGGAGCATTGGAATCAGGCATTGGCTGTGGTCACTGATTGCTCCCTTTCTTCCACACGCAAATTGACACAATTTTTTATATTACATTGGGTGTACTGAACTCCAAAACAACTGTTTCAGCGGGGTCATAGGGAGTCTCCTCTGTGTGGCAGACGTGGACAAGCCCTTCTGTGGTGCTGTCCTAAACTCCATCATTATTGGAAGTCTATTATTCAAGCAATAAATAGGCTTTACTCTATAGCACTGCGAGCAGATCCTCAGGCAGGTGTCCTAGGCATTTTGCCAGAGGACCCATCAATGGACTCTTTGCTCTGTCCTATTACAAGATTATTGTTTACTGCTAGGAAATTTATCGCGCAGAAATGGACTTCACCTGCTCCTCCTACATTCAGTCAGCAGCGTCATGCAGTCAATTCCATCTTGGAGAGAGAGCAACTGGTCAATCAACATAGGGGATGTCCTCTCAAATGTAATACATTATGGAACACCTGGTTGTCCTTTCCCAAATTGGCACCTCCTCAAACTGTTGTAAGTAATTTACCTTGTAAGTTCTGCTGTGTTGCCTACTCGTAGTTTTATTGTGTGTTTTATTATGCCTGAGCTAACTGATGGTCTCATTAATGGTACAGTTTGGCTGTGTCACTCGTGGATGTATAACCCTGTGTACAGTTTATTGTATTCGGTGGCCATGAAATACACAGTATTTGATAGCATTGTCAGCTCTTAGGGATCTCTGTGTACAGCAGCTAGGACAGTTTTTGCTATTGTACGGCTTTAATGCTTGTATGCAACACATTTCTCTGTTTTCTTTTCTTTATTTCTCTGTTTCTACTCTTCTTTTTTCCTTACATATCCTCTATTGTCTACATGTATAGCCTTTCTTATTTCCCCACCAGTTAGTATTACTGGAGCATACGTTATCCTGTTGCTATTTTGTGTGTATATCCACGTGTGATATTTATATTGCTACTTTTTATTCTTAGGTTACATTATTATAATGTTGAATCTTTGTTTCAATAAAAGTAAAATGTTATACAGGGTGGGAGTTTTTTTTTTACACATTTGCATTGTGTCTATTTTATGAACAGAAAAAAAAAATTACAAATATGAAAAGACCAGTACTGACACAGCATAGCATGCTCACCTACTGTGCCTCAAGTGGGGTTGCAGGAATTTTCCACCATGGACCAAATTCTTGAGGTAATACAAATAATTTTTTGCAAATAAAACCAGGATAACTGACAACATGTAGAACAATGAAAAATGGTAATCAAGTAGCTGTACAATTTCAAATGCAGTTACAGTGTAATAAGTTCTAAAATGCTTCTATCAATCTGTCATAAGTTATTACAAGTCAGTGTCTCTCGTTGCAAAAATCTTGAAGTTCTAGAAAAGAAAAATAAGATAGATAAGCATTTTTTCCAGACCAAGTACTGATACTTGTCCAAGTAGTCACACATACAATTACTAATACATTTTTGTTATTATGTTATTTGACAGTTTTTCTATAACAGTACAGACATATGATTTCAGGACAGTGGTAGAGTGCCAGGGCCCTGTCACAGCTGCAACTTCTGCAACACTGGTAGTTCTCATGAACATGCCAAGCATCTGAACATCCCTAGTTTTAAATCAGTGGTTCTCAACCAGTGGGCCGCAACCCGCAGTTGAGGGGGTCACTACATGCTTTGTGCTGCACTAGGTGAGAGGCTCCACAGCCTCCTCCTAGCGCAGTCGTGTCAGTTCTCTGGCCATGTCCACCGCTACATGGCGCTGTTGCGCGTGGGCCGGGGAGGAACAAAGAGAGGGAACAGTCGAGAGGGGAGCGGTCGGGAGTGAAACACCTGTGTGTCGGGTGTGATGGGAGGTAAGTGCCAGCTCTAGAAGGTCTCTTAACCCCTTCGTGACGGGAGACGTACACTGTACGTCCAGCCACAAAGGGACCAAATGACTTGTCACGTACACTGTACGTGACGAGTTATTTGCTTCTTTAATTCAGTCATGAAGGGGTTAAGTAAGTTATAAGAATTGCACTGCGCTTAAAAAAAAACTAGTAAACATGCAAATGATGTGTACCCAACAAATGATCCTTCCACATAATAATATAATTAAAGTGATACAAAGTATAAAAAAAATCTTACAATAATATACTGTGCTCATTCTTGTGTCACAAACTGATAAAAACATAATGCAGTCACGTGTCTATGAATATGGTGATTAATCCGCAATCCTTGTTAAAACAGTGAAGAGTTTGTGAAATAGTTCAATATAGTCTTTGTCTTGTCCACAAAAGAATATAGAAAACCATGTGCAATCCAATCCAATCCACCTCCATGCAAATCGACAACGATTTTAACCCTCATGCTGCATGCAGCTTCACCGTGTTCACCAACAAATATCCGCACTCACTGGATATTTTACAGATAAGCCTGATGCGCCCGGGTATCAACTGGGACTGGATGCCTCCAAAGGTGCATGGAGGTTCTGCAAGAATTGGAGGCATTCAGTCCCAGTTGATACCCGGGCGCATGATGCTTATATGTATAATATCTGGTGCACCATTTGGTCCACCAGATCAAAGGAGGCGGGAGAAACATTCTCCTCTGCGAGGCCCTGGTGCAGCATCTTAGCCCATTCCGTCAGGGTCTGGGAGACCAGAGCCGAGGCCAAAAACCGTACGCATTGTAAGTGCACTGTAAACAAGTACATGGTACGCGAGACAGCCTCTGCCTTCCGATCCGTAGGGTCCCGAAAGGAAGGAGAATCCACCACCGGGATAGCCGTTGCCTTGTTCAGGTGGGAAAACCGGCGGGTCCACCGCAGGGGAGGACGACCACCTAGCCACAAAGTCCTCCTCAAAGGGATAACAAACCGAGAAACGTTTCGGAACCGAAAAGGACTTAGTGGGACGCTTCCACTCAATAGATGAAGTCATCATTTAAAAGGGGATATAGGGAAAAAACGCAGAGGAGCGCCCACTCTTATGCGTCACAAATTGAACCGGCGGGAGCACAGAGGAACTAGGGCCCTCCTCAAGCTTAAGCGTCTCCCAGGACGAAAGAAACAGCGCGGTGACCAGTTCGCGGTCCCGCACCATGAGTGAGGCACCCGCCTCGGCGTCACTGCCCGAGTCTGGCCGAGTCTGGAATCCCCCAAACCGGACGCACGGCCACAGCAGAAATTTCCCCCTCCTCCGCCCCCAAAGGGACCGTGGAATGCGACGGCAGGACGCGCTTCTTAGGTGGCCTCTGGGTCAGAGCGCGTTCAATGCGCGACACAATTCATAGTGGACACATTTTCTTTTTAGGGATAAGGCAGTGCCCGTGGCACTGCTCCCCCCCGAAGCACCCGAAGGGGGGCAAGGGAAACTGGGAAAGGGGGGCAGGCATACCTGCAGCTCAGAGAGGGGAATGGGAGAGGACCACCCAGACTGTACGTGCACCCGGGACCCCACAGCAGGGAGAGGGCAGATCCCCACAGTACAACCTGCCCGGAGAACGACATGTGCTCCAGCAACCCGCTCCAGACAGTCCCAGCGGCCATCCACCAATCTGCTCCCCATGCCACACCTCCTCTCAGCGCACTCTCCAGTGAGAAAAGACTGCTGAGCAAGGAGAATGCTGAATATGCAGCAGGGAAAGTGACGTCAGCGTAAGACCGCCGCCGAACAACAAAGATGGCGGCCGCGGCACGGCTGCAACAGAAGCCGGGGGCTTAATTTTTCAGCTGCCCAGGCACCCATGGAAACAAGCGCTGACAGCACCCCCACAGCAGACTCCCAGGCTCCAGGCCACCCCAAGCAGCCAGGCCGCAAGTGACTTCAGCAGAAGGGCACCACCGAAAGGGCATTGCAGCCCTCAACAAGATGGCGGCCGTGGCCTCCGGCGAGGCTGCAACAGAAGGCGGGTGCTCGATTTTTTGGCCGGCCGCGGCACACACGGAAGCCAGCGCTCCCCCAGCAACCTCCCAGGCACCAAGCCACCCCAAGCAGCAAGGCCGCAAGTGTCCCTCAGTGAGGGAAAACGAGGGGAAAGAAGGGGGAGGGGGGAACGAAGGAGGCCCACAGACCCCGCCAAGACGAAGGAGGCCCACAGACCCTGCCAGGAGACACCCCCAAGGAACCCCTCAGTGACCTCACAGGGCACCACATCCAAACAGAAGGGCAGGAAGGCCCTGAAGTCCTCCCGCACAGTCCCTGCCCCACATCCATACCACCACGTGCACCGTCCTCGTACAGCAGACACCATTAGCACCCGAGACGTCGGGCCAAATCCACGTGGAGTCAAGAGGCAAGGACGAGCAGAAACAGCGGGCAGAATGCCCTCGAACGCAGTCGTGGCGTCGCCAGCCTGTCCTGTGACCGGTCGGCCGAGAACTCCAGTCATATGCAATTTCATTGGGACAAGCCCACAGGCCACTCCTCGACAGAGTCATCGCAGCCGACCCTCAGCCGCAGAGTCTGCATGCGCTCGCCGGTCGCCAGGGGAGACTCCCAAGGATCTACCTCGTCCAGCTTGTCGCCCTGGCGGCACTTGCTAGAAGAATCAGCAAAAAAACAGGAAGTAAGGTAAGAATACAGAGAAAAATTCTTAGCTCCTTACTCCTGACGCTAGGCAAAACACTGGAGACTTGTCAACAGGTCGGGGGTTTGGCCACCAGCAAGGGCCGCCCCTAGGCTGTAATTGGTCTTTAGTTTTGTGCCTAGCCTCCTTCTCCTGCAGGTGGCGATATTACCCTACAGTACATGATCTCCGATCTGTTCCCTGTGTCCTTCAATGAACGGAAGAGAAATGTACACACCAGTCAAAGCTGAAAATTAAAGCGGTCTGTGGCATTATTGGTTTGTGTGTGTGACACTGAGTTAAAACATACATGCAGACTTAAAAGCCAAAATGTGTTAAGGGTATATATATTGCTTTAGGGAATATTAGGGTATATTGTGTATTTATTCTGTTTTAAGGGTATATATTGCTGGGCATTAAATACATTAAACATATAGAAGGGTATATATTGCTGATCATTAAATATTAAATATATAGACTACTGGGCATAGGGTTATAAGTATAATAACCCCAGGGACACAGTGCAATAAAACACAAGGGCTGTAGTATAATTATCCACAGTGCTGTAGTGTAACTTAACCCCAGGGCTGTAGGGTAATTTAACCCCAGGGCTGTAGTGTAATTTAACCCCAGGGCAGTAGCGTAATTTAACCCCAGGGCAGTAGCGTAATTAACCCCAGGGCAGTAGCGTAATTAACCCCAGGGCCGTAGTGTAATTCACCCCAGGGTGAATTAAAATAACTCAAGGGCATCAGTAAAATACGATTGTTGTTAAACTGCCAATTGAGAACCATTGGCACTAAATAAATGAATAGCCTATACAAAATAAATTAAAAAATTAAAAAAAAAGGAAAATGTCTTCCATGAGTGGGTATGCAACCAGGTGTACGTTGTGCGCAATGTATGCGTTTCTTGAACATGCATTCGAGGGGGAATACATTTGCGCTAGATGTGAGCGAGTTGTTTGTTTGGAAGCACAGATTCTGGATCTAAACAACAAACTGGCAACACTGAGGAGCATAACCAACATGGAAAGGAGTCTGGACCTGATGCACCAGGCTCTGTTGGAGGGCGGCTTAGATGAGGAGGGGGGTTTGGAGGAGCAGGATCCCGAGGTGGGTAGCTGGGTTACCGTTAGTAGGGGTAGAGGGAAGAGTGGGAGAGAGAGGTCAGCCCTGAACGAATTAACACCCAATAAATATGCCAGGTTGCACGATGTTGGGGATATTAGTTCAGGGGCGACACTGCTGGAGCAGGACAGGGGGAGTAATTGCTCCAGAAAGGATGGGAGCAGGATGGAGGGTCAGGAGAGGCAGATCTTGGTGGTGGGGGATTCCATCATCAGGCGGACAGACAGGGTAATCTGTCATCGGGACCGAGAGCGTAGAACAGTATGCTGCTTACCGGGGGCTCTTGTTCGACACATTGATGAACGAATGGACAGGTTACCGGATGGGGTTGGGCATGACCCAGCTGTCATGGTCCAAATCGGCACCAATGACAAAATAGGAGGCAAATGGAGTGTACTAAAAAAGAAGTTCAGAGACTTAGGTGCTAGGTTGAAGAGAAGGACCTGCATGGTAGTATTCTCTGAGATCGTTGGTTCGGCCACATCTGGAGTACGCGGTCCAGTTTTGGTCGCCGGTACTGAGAAGGGATGTCCTTGAACTGGAGAGAGTCCAGCGGAGGGCAACAAAACTAATTAGGGGAATGGAGGACCAGAGCTATGAGACAAGGCTTCTGTCCTTAAACACGTTTAACCCCAAATACTATGTAACTATGTAAGTGCCAAGAGCGACTCTAGACAGACAGCGAGAGTTCAGG